TTTCTATTTCTAACAATGAGTTTTATTCAACAACTGATGTTTGAAAACAAGTTGTCATTGTTACATTTCTGTATCGTATTCAACTATTCTTTCCCTGACACCTATACAGTTTATTCTGAACACAAAAAATGTATACATTCAACGTAACAATACTTGTTCATAAAACTAGAACTTTGCTTATAGTTCAGATAATATGAGTTTCACTGAGTTTATATATGCATTTGAAACTGAACATTGACGCTAAAGCTATCGATGTTTGATGAATATGTATTTTTAAAATAAAAATAATATAACAAATTAAATAGATAAAGGATGAAACGTAATTTATACATTCATTTTTTACCTTAACAATAACCAATATATATATCAACAAAAATACATTGATAAAATTTATAATTTAAAATAAGGAACTTAATGACAATCATTTTGACTGGTTCGGTAATTATAATATTAACTCCTATATTAATTTATTTATTTAATGGAATATATTCTTTTAGTACCTACGATTAAATACAACTAAATGCAATTAAACTGAAAATTATGAATAATGAAAATAAAAGTAGTGACAAAAAAATACATGTGGTAAAAACACAAATTAAATTAATATCAGAACATATGATATCCTAGAAAAAAAATTTGTGCTTTTCTAGAGATCGATAAAATATCCCTAATCAGTTCAACATTTGAAGGAATTTTAGAAATATTTGCCATCCCCTTTAAACATTTATAAATGAATAAAAGATTAAGTAAGTTGCGACGATTTTCAAGAGATAAGATTTAAAACTTTTTTTGCTTATTTATATAGTTCTTGATTTTAAATGAATATGAGATACTCATTCAGGCAACAATAATTATAAGAAGCCTATATTATATTTTTTCGTAATTCAAATTGTATTTTTTTTTTATTTTCCAAATTTTAAACTTTTACTTTAAATATTATTGCTAACTATTGACTGATGTATACTCGCGATCAACCCAGGCTTTTTTAAAGAAAGGGGCGATATACATGAAACAGGAATTCTTAAAATCTTAATTTCGAGAGTAGTAATGTTAAAAATAATTTAGAAAAAAAGGTAGTATAATTTTTGGTTATTAAATATTACAAAATTTAGTATGTAACTGAGAAATGTGAATAAGATAAATATTAATTCCAATTTTCCCGCGTTAACGTCCACACGCAAATTGTGGGGGGTCATAGACCTATATGTATATAGGACCCTTTCCACTACAATCGTCATTCTCGTCGGAGGAAGAAGGGTGAGAATTTGGGACGTCACTATTTTTCCTAGACTATTTTTCCTAGTGTAAAAAATGTGAAATAAAAAATTAATTGAACAATTGTATGTATTGAAACAATTAAATATTCATGTCTCTAACAATTCTGATTATTGTAAATCATACTAAACCCACTCGTGGTCACTAACACATTTAATACCATGTTACCTATATTTAAATAACACCTGAACTTTCGAAGGAAGCTATTACTTTATTATTATTAATTTTTCTACTTACCTAATTCGAAATATTTTTATTGGATATTTGAAATGATGGATAATAAAAACAACGAAATTTTCAACCACGTTCGCGTGGCAGTTAACGTGTTAAACATTTGTACGTACACAGGTGAATGATTGAATCGTTCAACTTGACACACGGAAACGCGAACAGAACGGTTCTCTTCAGCGGCGAGTTATTTTGCAGTCAGGGCGAATGACCGATCCGGGCCAAAATCGGCTCGAAGTACATCCGGAATTTTCTATGAACTCTTCAGGAAGGGTGGCTGAATGGAAAGGAAAGATATTCGCCTATTCAGTCTATACGGACGGGTTCGTTGTCAACATCGGTGACGACAGGATCCATCGGATTCCGCTGAATAACGATAGTAGGAATTCGGTGCGGAGCTAACGGGAAAAGACCTTAACGTCGGTCTAGTCGTTGGCGTGCCGACCTCGTCCACACGTCCTCTATTCAATTATCGGTCGTTCAGCACTCTCCGTTCGTGCGCGTTCGTTCGTTCGTTCGCAGTCGCACTGCTACTCTGTTCCACAGTTGAGCAAAGCTGGAATCCTCTCTGCTTGTGGTTCTCACGCTGATGTTCCAACGAAATCGATCTCCTTCTATTCCAGCAGTAAGCACGCGAGGGATGAGTCGTAAACAGCGGGTCCACCTTTGCAAGAAGGCTACTTGTGATTTGTCTGCTTTTGCTCTATCCTTTCTTGGTATCTTCGGACACATCATCACTCAAAAATTTATTTTCTTTCCATATGTTGACAGAAAAACATCGAATGGAGAACGTTAATTTGTTATAATAACAAAATATTGCTTATACTTTCTTATATCTAGACCTCAGAACCAGAATGTATTAAATTACACTTTTCAAATTTTAGAGGAGAGCAAATCAAAGGTACAAAATAGTGATGGGCGATACAGTATCGATACTTCTATTCTTATTTTATAAAAATCATAGAAATCTATTAATATTACATTTTAACTCTTGAACAGTGGAATCTGGGTTACTCGAGGTCCAAATTTACAAAGTTAAATATATAATTTTTAAACGAAAAACTTTCATTAGAAGAATAATCTTTAAAAGAACAGAGTTAAATTTATAAAATGAAAATAATATAAAATACAAAGTTAAATTAAAATTGGGGCTCTCTCCATGGTCCGTCATTCGAGGGTTAAACAAAAAGAATTTAAACAGCTCTTGTTTTTTCTGCTCGACTGAAAAATGGTGAAAAATGACTTAAATTAGTCTGGTTTATGACAATCTTAATGGTTGCATATAATAACTTATGCAAAACGAGAATACCTATATTTAGAAAAGAATAAATGACAGAAAACTACAAAAAATTCAACGTCATCGTGTATATTGAATTTGACATTTTTGCTACTCCAAATGCGTCAAATAATTAAACGTTTTAAGTGTATTTAATGAATATGACTGACAAGGGAAATATGAAAATTATGAAACTTTCCGTGCAAGTAGATTAATTCATTCGTATCATAAATCTATTTCTTTTTGGTGCCATTTTACAAAAGAAAAGCACCCTTTAATAAAAGAAATGCATAATTTTCTTCTTTGTGGAATATCTTTATAATAGTAAAGACAAAAATTATGTCATTTCATTTTTTTCATAATAAACGCTTATGCAATTACTTTTGTTAAATTTCAAGCTTCTAATTGATACAAGTGCTAGTATGTGACACTTTTTTGCTGACAATTTCTGTCAGACTTTCCGTGTGTCAGGTTTATTCGTTCAATAAAAATAACATCACTTCAGTGGATAAATCAATATATATATATATATTTTTTAATTAAACATGAAAGAAAACTAAATTAACATTATAAACTACGAAATACAAAATACAAAGAGGAAAAGAAACGTGAACGCAAGTGCCGATCATGGCGTAAGCACGAAGAGAACTGAAAACAAAAAAAACTGTATAGAACTGAAACTACACGCCTCGATCCACATTGATCGGCACGCCACCAATAGGATGCAATATCGATCCAGCTAACACCGTGTTTAAAAATTTACCATTTAATATAGTACATTTTATTATTTTTAGTTCAAGGTTGAGTTTTGGTTAGGCAGTATATTCACATGTGAATGCAAATTTTCCAGTGAAAGCTTTTAAAGAACTTAACGGCTACGTTGGATCAGGCTCAATCGTATTTAAAAGTGAAATGACTCGAGTCTACCTGAACTTGGCACCCTTAAAACCCCTGCCTTACATATAATGAAGGCGTCGAATAAATTTCCTTCCAAAGATGATATATATTCTGAGTTACAACTTTTCAGACTTCGTACCTGCATAGATTCTTCAGACTATTTACCTTCGTAAATAGTATGTAATAATAACTTATCATGATCTTTCTACAAGTTCAAAAATTTGAAAAAAACTACTATACTTAAAGTCATTCTATAATTATTTTAATTACCTATAATGTAAATATATCAATTTTGAAATATATATTTCTATACAATGCTTTTGTACAAATTTTACTAAAAATAAATTGTGACAGGTTACAGAGCTGCAAAACTTAAAATTTTTTAGGGAGTACTATTTATAGTTATTTACATTCCCTTTCTTTCTAGATCTGGATATAAAAACGATTAATACAAATAGTAATAATGATAGTAGTAGTACGAGAGAAATAATAATAGTACCTTACCTTAATAATGGGTATAACTAGAATTTTTTTTTAATTGCTTCATTAGATGTTCTTCATCGTTCATATTGTTAACTACTTTAGCTGAAAATTTGTCTGAAAAAGATCAGGTCACTCATTTTATAGAAAGTGTTAAGTGTCTAGTATTTCTTAATTATAGTGTAGTCATTGTTTATAATTTCACGTAATACAAATATTATTATGTGTGTATTTTGTGTTAAGTTCCATTGCATATTGTAATTTGGTTCAAATATTCATTTTTATTAAGAATTTATGAGCTGACAAATATTGTTTTACTGATTCCAATATGTCTCTATAGTATAGTCCTGATAATCCCATAGTCCTAATAGCCCAATAGTCCAAACATCCTATTAGTCCTAATAGCCCAATAGTTCAATAACCTAACGGCACAACAGTCCGATCAGTCATAATAGTTCCAATAGTCCAATAGTTCAATAACCTAACGGCACAACAGTCCGATCAGTCATAATAGTTCCAATAGTCCAATAGCCAAATACCACAAAGTCCAGATAGTTCCAATAGTCTGGATGGCCCAATAGTCCAAACAGTCCAATGAACCAATAGTCCTAAATAATATTTACAATACCTTTATAAAATGTATTTCATCTTCGATTCGATCTTTTGCACGAGTTCTAAAGGAATTTTATAATTAAGAAACGCAGTTAATTATTCTCGACCAAGTTCAAAGATTATTTTCATACGGATGTAATAAAGAAACTGAAATTTTTCAAAAAGATTGTGAAGAAAAAACTTATTTGCGTAATTATATGATCTTTCTAATATACTTACTTTATATTTTCAGGTGTGCAAACTCATGGCTTAAATTTGGATTACCGTCGGATACACCAGGATCATGGCAGACGTATGTAATATTTCAAACTCAAGTTGATGATTTATATGGGGAGTGAATAAAAATATAGTAACACGAGGAAAGGGGCAATTTGTTGTATAAAAAAATGTCGATGGTGTGCAGTCAGTGTCTTGTTTTCAAACTTTTGTTTCTAAAAAAAATTAAATACTTTTATTATTAACAATAAATTAATAATAGTTAAATAATGAATTAATCTATAATATTTTAGCACTATCTGATTTTACTTCCGACATCTTTTGTTGCACAGAAATAAAGACATTTTTAATCAAATAAAAATACAGAAGGTTATTGAAAAAGATATAGAAAGAATAATTTTAAAACTTCTAACGCAAACATTTTTTTTCTTCTATGATATTGCTTTTGACTCTTTGCTATAAGGGTTCTTTTAATTTATAAATGGGAATTTGGTGTTAAAATAAAAATACTTTTTGTACAAAAATTTCTTCTTATAAAGTCATCATTTTTATTCATAAAATTTTGCAGAAGTATCATTACTTTTTTACTCAGAACTAAATATAACTGACACATTTTAAAGCGTTTGTGCATTTTTTATTTTTGTTACTATACCGGATGGGAAATTTATTTTTAGACTCAAGAAGGGTCGCTTATTTTTTATACGTATATGAAAGTTCTAATTCGAAACTATACAAAGTTATGAAAACATCTGCCTCTCCCGTAAAAGTTAAATTATTTGATAAAGTGACACCATAGGACAGATCAACTATATAACTTTTGGGTCGATGATATTGAACTACGTTCAATTTAAAATGCAATTCAATTAAAAATTAAAAATTAAAGAAATTATATAAAGGGTAAATACTCATAAACAAATAAACTTAAAATTAAATCTATAAAAGCTGGGGGGATTTATATCTATTCATTTTGCACATTGTTCATGAAGTTTTAAGAACGTTATGGAGGTAACAATAATATATCATATTTCCAATATAATCAATCACATCTTCAATTAAGATTAATCGCCAATATTTTTTGGGCAAGCTTATATCTGTAGTTCTTAAAATATTTAGCTATATCAGTAAGTTTGAATATTTAAATACTTGGGTATTCTTGGCTAGAGTAATTAATTAATTACATACTTACTAGGTTACTGTGTTAAATTCATAATTTAGGTTATTTAGTTCATGTGATCTACAGTAGACTCTCGTTATATTGCCGCAGGAGCGGAAAATTTGTCAGGTTTCCAAGCTTTGATTTGGAGGACGGAAAGGAAATAGAATTGTATTATCTTTATAGACTACAATGGTGGAAGAGCGACACTACTATGCTTGACATTTCTTGTGAGGGTCACATTGCTCATGTGACAATATAACAAGAACCTATTACATAGTAGGACGTGAGAATAGGTGTTGCCCACTGTCAATCCTTTAAACTAGATATTAACCCTAGAAAGGTGGAAAGAATTCTTATACGTAACAATTAATTTTTTACGCTTTCTTTTTTAATACGATCCTTATTAAACCAAACTTATTTCTCCAGCACTAATCGTGAAAACATAAATGAAATAAAATGATTGTTTGCAAATTTTTTAAAGATAAAGATAATTTGCGATATTTTCAAAATGGTGGAGTCCCATTTTTGGGACAAAAATTACAATTTGTCCATTTAGTTGCCACCTTGGATTGATTTTTTCATTTTTATAATTTTTATAAAAATACCTCCGTTTTTAGCCTTCTTTCAATGAAGATTGTGCGTGCCTCTACAGCTACAACAGTCTCTCGTTAGATTGCCACGTGAGCGATTTGTCCTTTACGTGGATTTTTAAGGAGATGTAGTGGCACACTTCCATCATCGTAACTTATGAAAATAATGGTTTTTCAGCTGAAAGTTTGGAAACTTAAAACATTTTCCACGCCTGCAGCTCCGTCCGTGGCAATATAACGAGAGTCTATTGTAGTTGATTAGAATGTATTGCGATTTTCTCTTTATGATTTTCTGCGTCTATTCATTTAGTTCCTCACGTAAATCGTCATTTCTAAGATTTCTAAGATTTTCAATATTTTGGATTATGACTCAACCTTTGTTATATAATTCATTACTGCAGTTACCCATAATTATATTCCATAAATCCATATTATTTTTATGATTATTTCATAAATTTTTTATTTATTTTCTATGCTGAGTTTGGATTTCCAACTAATCAGGTAGTACATTTGTTTAGATATTAAATGTTTAAAATATTTCAATAGAAGTAACAATATCAACGAAGGTCTTTGTGTGTGCCATGTACGACCTAGGCGGTCCACAAAGTGTTAAGAATGCGAAATAATAAATAATTTTTCAATTTCTTCTGGCACGAGCAATTTACGGTTTCTATGTACATCTTTTTCGAGGCACCCTGCGGAGATCACCCTCCGCGTAACACATCCGACGAGCGCAATAAAACGGAACCACCGCGTTAAACTTTATTGCGGAAAGGGCTTGTTGTTCGCGCTTGTGCATCACCGACAACCAAAAAGGCTGTTATAACTTTATGATTGTCTACTGCATCCATGCCGTAGGATGAACGTTTTAAATCTCAGGATGTTTTATACTAAACTTAGGTGACTAACGTTTTGGCTTAACCCTTGAACAGCGGGATCTGGGTCAATCGAAGCGCAAACTTATAAAACGTGATTAAGGATATTAGCCTAAAATTGAATGTATAATTTTTAAACGAATGGATCTGATATACTGGATCAATGTAAAATGTAGAAAATGGAAGCAATATGAAATGCAATAATAAATTAAAATTGGGGCTTTTTCCATGGTCCGCTGTCCAAGGGTTAAAAGAACGAAACATATTATTGGAAAATTTTAAGATTTTATTTTTAACCCTCTATTGCATTACGCTGCAAATTTGCTACATAACAAAATATGAAATGCTACTATTGTTTTTTGGAGTTCTCTGCCTTTGGGGTTATAAGTCTTGAACTCCATTGCGGATGTTTTGCGTATATTGTTCAATTTGATAATTTTATTATCTTCCCTTAATTAGCATGTGGTATAAATCTAGGAACCTTTTAATTGAATTCAGATTTCATATTCGAAAGTTAGACGTTCTCTCGTTTTAAGCTTCAATTAGTGGGATTAAAATATTTGCACAAAGATTTTATCTCTCATGTTTAAAATCGTTTTAACAGATACGATTCTTCATTTAATTCGTTTATAAGACCCGATAGCTCTATTATGATAACGTTTGATGTTGTTATATTTAATGTAAAATATTGTGGAACATTTTAAAGCGAGTACAATGCAATTAATTTTGTTCTATTTATAGATTAACTGATTTATTTGATTTAGGAATAAATAAATACGAAGATCAGTAAATGTATTTTTAAGTCTGCTATGGAAAATATTTATTTAATTATTTAATTATTAATTTTACAGGTATAAACCTAACAATAATGAATATAAAATGAAATATAAATACAATTTTAAATAAATTAAAATTAGGTACTGTCTAATTTATTAAACAAATTTAGAAATCTTAAAAGTCTAAACATTTTTTTATTTATGTTCTAATTTGTTTGGAATATATTTAAATTAACATATAGCATAGTAACTACTTAAATAAGGTACAACAAGCTTTGCAATAATTTAAAATAATGTATTGCAAAAAAGAAATTACACGAAAAAAGTATAACCGTAAATATAAGTCATTACTGTCTGCTATCCTAATGGAAATTCCGTGATACTTTTACGACTGGTGCAATTTTGCTTTACTGTGATTTCTATTTTCGTTTCATATCGCTAAAGGACCACGGTTTTACTCTCTGCTATTATTATACTACAGGAGTATGTGACCCTCTGAGAGATTCGTATTAAGCTATTATGCGAAAAATAAATTATACTCGATACAGAAGATAAACGATGCTAAGAGAACGGAATTAAAAAACTTATTTGTTTTTTGTTGCTGTAGAGAAAGTCTAATATGATTTGATGACATAAAAACACTGCAGGATAATACTGGCGTTATATTAATTGGAAGCTTAACACTTGATAAAAATGATCATTGACGTAACTAGGTGGATTGGCCTTACTATTTTAAGATTCTAAAATTGCACAATTCAAAAATTTCAGAATTCCAAAATTCCTGAGTTCCAAATTTTCAGAATTTCAAAATCCCTGAATTCAATAATTCCACCGTTCTAAGGTTTCAGAATTTTTAAATTTCTAAATTACTCCCAAATTCTAAAATTTTTAAATTTCCAAATACCAAAATTCCCAAATTCCCAAATTCCAAGTTCCATAATTCCTAAATTCGAAAGTTCACAAATTGCCAATTTTCTAATTTCCAAAATTCTAAAATTACAAATTTCCAAATTCTCAAATTACAAAACTTCTAAACAATCTCGTCCACCCTAGGAATAAGTCCTAGTTATGCCAATGAAAATTACCACACAAACCTCCCGTCAAGTTTTACCAATTTTATAAGATTTACTTGTACCTATAAGAGCCATTCATAAAGGATGCCTGTCCTTGCAAGAAAAAAGAGATTATCGAAATGTGATAATGCAGTTCCTGTTTTTTGTAATATATAAGTTTTGTGAACAACCTTATATAAAAATTGTTAATACTATAATTCACGATTTCTCTTTCTTACACATAAAATCTTATTAAGTAAAATGTTTAGGGTACTTAGATTTATGATAATAGATACATCAATTATAAAACAATCATGAATATTTTTAATATTAGCATAAGAATTAATGTTTAACTACTTGCCAATTAATAATTTATACAACTCATATACAGCTATGTATAATGAGTAATTTGAAGAACTGGAATTGAAAGTTAGATGTTTAATTTTATTGTTAGCAAGTGGAAAACATACTTTATTTATTTTTCAGATTAACAAAAGTCCTTAAATTTTCAAGCGATTATTTACTTGAATTTTAGAGCCACTATTGTTTTGAAAAGAGCTTTTGCTCAATGGTAGCAAAATGCTTTACATTTCATTTACGTTCAAAGAAACCCTGTCGAAATTTCGT